TAAAAGAAATACCCAATATTAACTGTTTTTTTCAAAACTGTTCTGTGCAAGGATCAAAGTTCATTCTTCAGTTTTAGTTCCTCTGGAACTAATTTGTTTAAAGCACAGACTTTTGTTCTGTTTTTCTGTTTTAATTTCTCCTCTTTTTTTCTCATCTACTTCACCTTCCTGGAAAAATTGCATAAGGATATCTTCATGATATTATATATACATTTTTACGATCCTTTTATCTAAAGGATATTACATGATTTCTCTAAACTTTATGGGATTGAGTTAATAGCTAATGCCTAAGCACAATTGGTCCTCTATATTAAGGGCGTTTCTTTGTGTTGTTTTCCTTGGGCTTGGAGAGCAGCTTGTGGGCTTTGCCCTTGCTTGGACGGTGTGGCTGTGATGTTTGTGTCTGTGTGGTCGTTCCCTTGGTCCATTTGCAACACCAGCAACCTATATGAGGATCCGTCCAACAGGATATTCACACCTAAGCAACCAAGCCACTTCCTGTCTTGTAGCTCTCCTCTCTTCGCTCTAACTCTTGGAAAATGATGAGATGGCATTTCCCTCTGGGTGGGGAATGAGAGCCAAGGAGGTTAGTAGGGAGTAAAGCCCATGAAGCCAGAACTATCTGAACGCTGCCCGCACCGACTGCACCTTCCAGGAAAGCTCCAGGGAAAACCCAGTGTCTACTCAGAGGACAAAGCAAGCCAGAAGGGACCACAGCCACATGCTTGCTGCTCTGTGACCCTTTTCACATCAGCACTCTCTAGGATAGGGGGCCAATGTCTGGTCCTCAAATGAGAGCTGATCAGAACATCAGCACCCCTATCCATTCTTGGAGATTAAGTGAGGAGGGATGAGTGAAGCGATTTTGGTCTGAACAATTGTTTCCTTTTTATTTGGGAACAAAAAGCTGGAAAAACTGACATCTATGACGATTGGGAGATGGGTCCAGGCATGCCTGTGTTTGAGGGGTGATAAAAGAGTACGCATTTCCTTGTGAACGTTAAACAACACAGATCATCAGACACAAGAAAAAATAACAACTGCACCCTCCTTTTAGGAAAAAAACTTGGATATACCTTCAACAATCGGAACTTTCACAACGTGTCTCTGGGGCAAGGACAGGAGGTAGTGGCGGAGGCTGCGCTGGACCTCGCTGCCAAGAAAGGTCACTGGGTTATTTTGCAGGTATGGCCCTCTGCCCTGATCTGGTCATTCTTGCCCCCGTACCTGCTGGGGCTTCATCCCACAGTCTTTGGGCTTCTCAGTCCACTCTTGCCTTCACAGCCCCCTGTCCTTCCACACCCTGTCCCCGTCACGTCCTAATCTCCTCTCCTTCCAATTCTCCCCATCACACGCTGTCTTCCCTGCACCACCCCCAGTAACTCTTCTTCTCCCCACTCACCTGCTCCGCCGCTCTCTCTAGTCTACATAGCTCTACTTATAAAAGGGAGCAGATTCCCACTCCTGTGCACGTGCAGCAAGTTGGCATTTAACCGAAGGCCATGGCAGCCAGATTCTTTCCTGTGAATTTCATGGAAACTTCCTCTGCTGTCCCGTTCTATTGTGCTACATGTCACGTGCCCTTCATTACACATGTGACTAGAATGTGCAAGCAACCTTAGCCTTTTCGTTGGGAGTGCACACTGGTGTTTGGAAATCCGGAACCCCTACTACTAGTAATTTCATCAGACAGTTGCAAGGGAAAAGGCTACCTCTCTTCTATCATGGCCTGTCCTCTTAATCCTTTTTTATACAACGTGTGTGGATGCTGGAGCAGAATATTCTACAGTCACCTCTATTACAGCTCCATGATTGTGTCGATATGATTTGTTATATGACTGCACTCTTCACTAAATTTCCTTAGGAAAAGAGATGTTCCTTGTTTACCTTTTACCACCAGCCCACTGCCTTGAACATAGTAAACACCGAAACTAAAGCCTGGTAGGTGAAAGAATCAATGAAGAAATTAAAGAAAGAAAAAAGAAATGAAAAAGCCAGTCACTCCCATCCCATCCCAACTTCCATTACCAAGACCCCCCTCTGTCTCCCGATTCACTCACGGCACCGCATCTTGGGGCTTCATCCTTAATCGTTCCATTATTTATTCGGAGTCTAGCAACTGAGGGATCTGCCACTCCCTGGGACTCCTTTTCCAGAAGCAGCAGGAATCTCAGGAGAAAAGATGATGACAGCGGGGGCCCCTGCTCCCTCCCACTCGGATCAGCACAGGCTGATTTGCCAAGAGACCCCCCTCTGGGCACTAGCGCCTTGGGGAGCCCAGCTGCTCAGCCTGGAGTTCACGTCTGTTTCTGAGACTGTGGTGCTGCCCCCAATGAGTCCATCCCCCCCAGCATCTACCGGCTGCCCAGGGCACCCAAATCTTGTTCAGTTGTAGCTGCTGGGAGCTCTTGAATATTGAACTCAGAAATCCCTCTTTAGGCCTGGCGCGGTGGCTCACGCCTGTAATCCTAGCACTCTGGGAGGCCGAGGCGGGCGGATTGTTTGAGCTCAGGAGTTCGAGACTACCCTGAGCAAGAGCGAGACCCCGTCTCTACCAAAAATAGAAAGAAATTAATCAGAAAACTAAAAATGTATAGAAAAAATTAGCCAGGCATGGTGGCGCATGCCTGTAGTCCCAGCTACTCGGGAGGCTGAGGCAGAAGGATCACTTGAGCCCAGGAGTT